TTTTCTTTCTGACTTTCCCCCGGGCCCTTTCCCCCCCCCCCCTTCCCCCCCCCCCCCCCGCGGTGGCTGCGCCAAGCTTCGCTTCCAATCGAGCCCGTTTTCAGGGCCGGGGAGGAGCCGCCGCCTCTCGCAGCGGCTGGGCCTCGTAAATAACGGAAAGCAAGCAGGCCTCCGTGGCCTGCCGTTCTCCTTTTGCTCCCCTCTCGCCGAGGAGGCCCCCCCGGCAGCAAGGCGGGAGAGCGAGCGCGAGGGAGCCTCCGGAGCCCGCAGAGTGACGTGGCCACGAGAGCGCGCGGGAGACGACGACGACACAGGATCTCCTGAGCATGCGCAGTGAGAGACGGGGAATGCTCGGACCTGACGAGCATCTCTCCCAAAGAAGTCGGCGAGCCCACTTCACCTCCAACTCCCACGCCCGCCTGGACGTTGGCTAGAGTCAGGCAAAGAGTGTGGGAAGGGGAACATCACTTCCAAAATCGCGATCCCCCCCCATCCATCCCAGTCCACTCAGGCTAAAGTCCCGCAATTTGTGGCTTTTTTGCTTTTGACCTAAGATTGGGAAGGGGGCAGGATCTAGAAAGACGGCGACAGCTGTTTTAAAAACTCGGGGGGGGGTTTCTATTAGGAATCTAAACCCTTTCGCCCCCGCAGGCCAACCGGCTGCCTTTACAGCGGGTTGGGGGCGCGGGAAGTGTCTGCAGCCTTGGCTGCCTGCACTAGTACAGTAGTACTAACAGCCGCCGCTCGCCCGCCCTGGCTGTGGATTCCGAGGATTTCCCTTCCGTGGCAGGGATTCCTCAGCCCCACTCGGAGGGGGTGGAGGGGGCGGGCGGCGGCGCCGGGCTGGGCTGTCGATCGCGCGCCTCTCTGCAGCATTCGCTTCCTTCCAGCCGAGGAGCCCCTCTAGCTCCGAGCTACGAGCAGAGTCTCTCAGGACTGCGGGGGAAGCACTTGCAGAGGCGGCCGCGCAGGCTCAGTAAGATCTCACTGCGCCTCCAGTTCTTGCTTGGGCTGAAGCCAAGGAAAGGGGGAGGGAGGAGAGAGAGGGATCCAAATCGCGAAAGCCTGGGAAGCGGCAGGGGCTTCTCCTTGGAAGCGAGGAATCCCTAGGCTACGCTGGGGGAGTGGGGCGAGTCCCACCTGCTGCCGCCGCCGCCAGCCAGCCAGCCAAATCCGCAACGCCAGCCAGCCGGCTGCAGAGGCGACGCTTGGCCTTTGGGGCACCAGGGGGCAGCACTGAGCCCCCTTTCTTTGCTACTCCCCGAGATTCCCTGCATTTCGCATCATCAGGAAATTCCCTTTGACGAGATGTCTCTGCAGCCTTCTGCAGTGTGGGCGGCCGAGGCGCTGGGCACTGGCACGTTGCCTAGATTGGTTGTTTCTCGCTCCCCCTGTCCAGCCGAAATAAATTGCAACACGATGCAAGATCGGGCAGGGTGGTGGTGGTGGGGATTACATATTGAAAGTAGAAACATTTATCTAAAATCCCTCAAAAGCTAGCCCAAGAGAGAGTTGTCATCGGCTCCCCAGATACATAACAACCGTAAAGGTAAACCGTAAAGTGGGACCGCAGGGGAATGGCCGAAAGTGAGTTAGTTCCTTCACGCAACAGAGAATTTGAGGCCGAGGGAGAAAAATGCAAAAACCAAAGTGGCCTTGAAGGGATCAGCAAACTGATAGTGTCCATCATTACTTTAGCAGGGCAGAATTAAGAGAGCGATAGACTGCCCTCGCCTCGGTCACGGAGTGTCCACACAGAAACTGCCAGCAACAACCTCCCTAAAACGTTTGAGCAACAGCACAATGGCAGGGGCCCCAATCCACTGGTGAAGCAGCACCAGGCAATCAACAGAAAGATAGAAAAGGAAAAACAAAACAGGAAAGGCAAAAGGGTGGGGGGAGGGAATGCCAAACCGCTTAAAACGGCATGTTCGAATTCAAACCCTTGTCTCCCCCGAGAACCAATTTCTGATTTAAAAAAAAAACACTTCCTGGTCCTGCATTACTCACGAGGATTAGAAATCTTCCATAGGCATGGGCTGAAAAGGGAGGAGGAAAATCCCCCCTATTCACTTTAAACTGCCCTGATTGTGATGCAAAGTGCAACTAATCCGCTTTAGCGGCAATCTGGAACGTGCGGTCCCAATTTGAGGAGCGATTCCCGCAGGGGAATTCGTCGTCTAGCGACGTCTGCTGGCGGGTCTCTTCATGACAAGGTTGCCTTTGCAAGCACGAGCACGGCCTGGCCGCCTTTTCCTCCTCTCGCGGGCCTCGGGAAGACCCCGGTCGAAAGGGAAAGAAATCGGATCCCTCCGTTTTGGGGCTCCCGACAGTGGCCAGCGAGAAGGTGGTGGCGATTTTTGCAGCGCTTGGCCCCCCCAAGGGAGCAGGGAGACCATGGGCTCTTCCCTCCTCCTCCTTTTTTTGCTTCTAGTCCGTCTCTCCTCGTCGCTCCCCCTCCCTCCGCTGCCGGAATTGCCATATAAGGAGGAGGAAGGCGCGCGCCGGAACAAGTCCTTATAAGGTCCTTGCCTTATATGGTCTCCGCGTCCGGGGGCTTCCGGCAATCGCGGCTGAGGCGGGAAGGGGGGGACCTCACAAGTGAGCCGCCCTTGTAGAGCTACTAGGGGACTCGCGTGAAGGGCCCGGAGCCACAGGGAGGACCCGTAGGGGCCGCCGGGCTCCAGCGCAAGGGCCGGCAGTGCCGGCGGGGGCCTCCTGGCTCCCTCTCCCCTCCCCCTCCGGTCGGCTTCCCCCAGTGTCAGACTCTGACGCCAGGCGGGGTCCTCGCACCTCGCCACCATATAAGGGCTTCCTGCCTTCCATATATGGACATGTACGTCAGGAAAAAGGCGGTCCAGGGCCAATGAGATCCGATATATAGAGGCTGGTTCGGGGGGGGGAGGGAGCGCGGCGTCTCCAGCGGGCAGAGCCAGGGGGAACCCCAGGCCGGCCGTGGAGCTAGCGCCCACCCGTTCTCGCCCCTTTGGGTGGCGGCGGCGGCGGCGGCAGCAAGAGCCTCCGCTTACGTGTAGCCCCAGGGCAAAACCCGGTCTCCAACGTGCCCCCATGACTGCGGCCAAGGCCGAAATGCAGCTCCTGCCTTCCCTGCAGATGGCCGACCCCTTCGGCTCGTTCCCGCACTCGCCCCCTACCATGGACACCAACTACCCCAAACTGGAGGAGATCATGCTCCTCGCCGGCGGGGGCCCGCAGTTCCTTAGCGCCGGCGGCGGCCCCGACCACGGCGCTGGTAGCGGCGGCTTCAATCCCTCCGGCGAAGCTGAGGGGATCCCCCCCGAGGGCACCAGTGAGGGGCTAGCCGTCCTTGGGGAGGGGATTCTGCCCTCCAGAGTGTGGGTGAGGGAGAATGAGGAGGGGATTCTCAGAAGTGCGTCACCTGCTCCAGGCCATGGGCAATGGCAGCTGGACCCGGGCCAAGCCTTACAATGTGTTGCGCTCCGAAATTCATTCGCTTTGGTAACGGCCGCTTTGGAATGGGGAGGGAGCTGGGTCTCGTCAATGTAGGCAGGGCGTCAGAGATGCCCCGGGAGCACAAGCACAGCCCGCTAGGCGGGCAAGGGGCACCCTTTGGGCAAAAGGGTTGCCCTCGGGGCTGGGCTGGCGGCGGAGAGGCGGCGTTCGCGAGACTCACCTGGGGCCGCTGTTTTTCCTTCGGCAGACACTTTCCCCGATATCTCTCTGCATGGCGAGAAACCCTTGGTGGAGACCAGCTACCCGAGCCAGACCACTCGCCTGCCGCCCATCACCTACACGGGCCGCTTCTCCCTGGAGCCGGCGTCGAGCGCGGGCGGCAGCAACCCGCTGTGGCCGGAGCCCCTCTTCAGCCTGGTCAGCGGCCTGGTGGGCATGGCCGCCCCCCCGACGACCACCACCTCCTCCTCCTCCGCCGGCTCTTCCCACTTGTCGTCCGCCTCGCCGCCCATCTCGTCGTCCGCTTCGGTCAGCCCGGCCCTGAGCTGTTCGGTGCAAGCCAGTGACACCAGCCCCATCTACTCGGCGGCGCCCACCTTCCCCAACGCCGGCGGCAGCTCCGCCGGCGACCTCTTCCCGGAACCGTCGGGCCAGCCCTTCCCCAGCCCGTCGGGGCCCTCGCTCCAGTTCCCACCTCCGGCTTACCCGACGGGCAAGAGCAACTTCCAGCTGCCCATCATCCCGGACTATCTTTTCCCGCAGCAGCAGCAGCAGCAGCAGGCCTCCCCGGGCGAGATCGGCCTGGGTTCGGCCGAGCAGAAGCCCTTCCCGAGCCCTCAGCCTTCGCTCACGCCGCTCTCCACCATCAAAGCCTTCGCCACGCAGAGCAGCGGCGCCCAGCAGGAGCCCAAGAGCGTCCCGGGGGGCGGCGGCGGCGGCAGCGGCAGCGGGACCTACCAGGCGCAGCTGGTCAAGCCGAGCCGCATGAGGAAGTACCCCAACCGGCCCAGCAAGACCCCGCCGCACGAGCGGCCCTACGCCTGCCCCGTCGAGTCCTGCGACCGGCGCTTCTCGCGCTCCGACGAGCTCACCCGGCACATCCGCATCCACACCGGGCAGAAGCCCTTCCAGTGCCGGATCTGCATGCGCAACTTCAGCCGGAGCGACCACCTCACCACCCACATCCGCACCCACACCGGCGAGAAGCCCTTCGCCTGCGACATCTGCGGCCGTAAGTTCGCGCGCAGCGACGAGAGGAAGCGCCACACGAAGATCCACCTGCGGCAGAAGGACAAGAAGGCGGACAAGGGCCCCGCCGGCGCCCCGGCCCCCCAGGCTCCCGCCGCCTCCCCGCTGGCGCCCTACTCGGCCTCGCCGGGGACCACCTCCTACCCCTCGCCCGCCGCCTCCTCCTACCCCTCCCCGGGGCCGACTTCGTACTCTTCCCCCGTGACCTCATACTCTTCGCCCGTGACGTCTTACGCCTCTCCGGTGACGTCACCCTACCCCTCCTTCCCCTCGCCCTCTGTAGCCACCAGCTACGCTTCCATCGCCTCCTCCACCTTCCAGAGCCAGGCGGCGGCCACCCCTTTTTCCTCCTCCGGGGTCATCTCCAGCCCCTTCCCTTCCCAAGTGACTTCAGCACTTTCCGACATGGCGGCCACTTTCTCCCCGCGGACAATTGAGATCTGTTGAGAGGAGAAAGCCGGAGCGCCCCATGAACACTGTCCGTCAGGCGTGGGGGGGGGGCGCGCGGGGGAGGACGAGACCTGGGGAAATCTTCCCTGTAGGCCTCGATTCGCAGTCGGGAAAGGCAGGGAGAGGACCCTCGCTAGCCATCTCCCACCGTCCCAGCTCTCCAGCGCCCTTCGGACCTTTCTTTCAACTTCAACTGCCTGAAAACCGCAACAACCCATAGGAACTCCAGGAGACCGGAGTTGCTCCACTTCTGTCCGAGAACGTTGAATCTGCATGGACGAATAGATGTTTCCTTTCATTATAAGGTCCCTCCCAAAGCCTCGACTCATTAGGGAGCAAGGGACTTTGGACTCCATGCATAGACAATGTAATATTGTGTATGTGCCATGGCTTTGCTTTCCTTCTGGGTGAGAAAAAACAAAAACGGCGACAAACAGAGACCTCTTTGCATATTCATATTGCATTATTTGGAGTACGAAGGGCCATCTTCATCTCTTTTGTTTTGTAAATGGTAATTTTTGCTCTTTTAGTGATGACGAAGATGTTATGAGTTTTACAACTTGTTTTGGGGGAGGGGGCGGGAGAGGAAAAATAAAACAAAGCAGCACTTAACTATGTATTATTTGAGCATGTCAAAAGAGTGTGATGTTCTTTGTACATATCACCTTGAGGATGAAACACTCTCACGTGGCAAAAAGTTTTCGTTTGGTTCTTGATTAGTTTTTGTTTTTTCCTTCTTCGAAGTCCCAAGTCTTGGTGCCTTGTTGTGAAGCCCTGCTGACGTTATGCGTTCGTGTGACTGGATGCTTTGCATCTCGCCTTAAGGGGAAAGGGAAAGTGTGGAGGAAGGGGCCCCAGGCTCGGAAACCGAAAAGGGAAAGTTGTTGGGAGATGGAATTCAAACAGAAGCAAAAACAAACAAACAAACAACCCGAACTTCTCAAAAAGTCTATTTTTGTTACAGAAGTGTAAAAATTTATAAATATATTCAGCAGTTGGAATGTTGTAGTTACCTACTGAGTAGGCAGCAATTTTTTTGTATGTTATGAACATGCGGTTCATTATTTTTGTGGTTTTATTTTTTGACTTTGTACTTGTGTTTGTTTAAACAAAAGTGACTGTTTGGCTTATAAACACATTGAATGCGCTTTACTGCCAGTGGGATATTTGGTGTACAATAGCCTCTGGAAAAGTCAATAAAATACGGAGAGACCAGTAGCCCCAGTTTCTTTCTTTTTCTAGGTCTGGTTTCTTGTGGTTGCATCGGGTCGCCTCCTGGTTCTTTTGGAGCAGAGAGGCATCGAATCATTCCGCAAAGCCGGCAGGCCTTTTAAAACCACACAGCCAGGATGGGCACCTGCCTTCCCTCCAGAAATTGTTGGACTTCAGTACTCATCATCCTTTCTCCCACTGCCTATGTTGTTTAAGTTCATGGGAGTTGTGAGTCCAGCAACATCCGAACAGTCACAGGTTCCTCCCCCTCCCTCGCACCGCTACTTGGATGTCCCAGAGCTCAAAAGCTAGCTGGCCTACCGGGGTCAGGCGGGCACCTCGGGGCACCTTGTCCTAAACCATGAGAGGGAGCCGGAGAAAGGCTGTATCCCCCCCACTCTGCCTCGCCTGGAGTTTACACCCGTCTCTGAAGTGGCCAGGAGCAGTTTTTGAGCTAGTTTGATTCCCAGCTCTTTCTTCCCCCCCCCCCCCGCCTCCGTCTTTTTCTTCCACACTCAGTCCGTCATCTCTTTATTCGGGTGGGGGGAACACAAGACCTTTTGGGTGCTGGGGGCGGGACGAAGAGGAAGAGAAATCCGATACGGGAAGGTCCTCTCGGCTTTAAAAATAATACCGGGTCTGAGGTAGAAGGCCATCCACTTTGCAGGCAT